CCGCCTGCCTCGGTGGTGGAGGCCGCCGAAGGCGGGTGCAGGCCGCACAAGGGCAGGCCTGCGAAAGTGAGGAGCGTCCCCGCCTGCTGCGCTACAGCATGCCAGCCACGGCCCCAGTCGACCGCAGAGCTGCAGGCGGGCGGCGGTAGAAGCTTGCGCGGCCGTTGCAGGGGAGAGGGGCGCTGGCGTCTTGTAGGCTGCGCAGATGAACGGGTGCCCTCGCCGCCGCGCCGGGCGCTGGTGGGCTCCTGGAAAGCGTGGCGCGCCTCTGGTGGTAGGTCGGGGCTGCGCGGCGCGGGCTGCCTCGTTCCCAGGGCCCACTTGAGCCAGCCCAGGACGCGCCACGGCAGGCCCCAGGCCCACAGGTACAGGCGCCACAGGCACCGCGCCACGCCCCGCTGCAGGCCCGACCACCTGGGCAACACCGCCGTCCATGAAAAGAGGGCCAGCCTCCACACCACCCACAGCTGGAAGCACGACCAGAGAAACCTGGACGCTAACCTGGCCAGCCACTGCAGCGGCACAGGCGTCAGGCCCAGAACGCAGCGCCACGCAATGCGCGCGCGACGCTCAAGCTGCCCGGCCCCCAGTGGCACCGCGCGCGCCACTGCCGCCTGCGCCACGGCGTCCTGCAGGCAGAGCTGCGCAACAAAGGGCCACGCGAAAACGTGTGCGGCCAGCTGCAGGGGGCAGACGACGGTCAGGGTCGCCCAGCACTTAGGCAGGTGGATGGCCCAGGCCTTGGCCGCCCCCCCGTACGAGCGGATGTAGAGGTGCAGCCCCGCCTCCACGATGGCGTGGAATGGCATCTGCACGGCCGCCCCAACCATCTTGGTGACGAGGATCTGCAGCTCAAAGATCATGAGCCGCACCAAGTAGGCCCCATGGCAGCTGCGGGTGAACATGAGGGGTGCGAGGCCGAAGCACCCGCCCCACATGGCGACTGGGAACCAAGCGCCACTATGTGAAACCTGAGTGCGTATGGCGAGGCGACGTGGCGGTGAGTGCCGTGTGGCAGATCCGTGTTCAAAGGGACGCCGGCAGTGAAAACGATGTGTGCGTGCAGACACAACACAGGCGCAGCCTCGCTGCATTGGCGCGCGCCTCAGTGCACCACCCGCGGCGGCCCACCTGATCGAGGTGGTGCTCTGCTGTGTGCAGGAGGGGGTGGAAGGGGTCGCGCCTCACCACCCCGACCACGTCAGAGGCCGTGACCTCGACCGTCACCGTGCCGCGGGGCCCCAGCAGGCTGAAGGCCGCCCGCCGCGAAACCAGAAAATAAGACCATGCCGACTGAGCCTGATCGCGCAGTCTGGGGAGGGGGGGAGGATGGGGTGTGAAAGGCCTCGGTAAAGCCGGGGATGGCAGCCCAAGGGGGGCCAGGGCGGCTCCGCAGCATGCCCGGGGTGCTGCACCAATGCCCAGCCCAGGCACGCACCTCTCGAGGGCCCCTGGTGTGTCGACCGGCGACACCCCGGGCTCGGCGCGGAACTTCTCGATTGCCACCTGGCCAAGCGGCGTGGGCAGCCCAGCAGGAAATGACTGAGGAGCCGCGCCGAAGCCATGCGTGCTGGGAGCGGACACAATGCAGCGCCCCGGCCCCTTGATGGACACAAGCGGGCCTCCTTCGGCGCCAAACAACGCATTTATCGGGCGGCCCGGGCCCTCCGGCCCACCCACCTGCAGGACGATGACCCACAGCCACTGGAAGACGGCGCTCTGGTCGGCGTGATGCTTGCAGTCGCAGCGCGTGGTCTGGGCCTGCAGGTAGCGCTCCGCCGCAGCCGCCGCCTCCCCGGCGTTGCGATTGAGCGTCTCCGAGGGCTGCGCCGCAGCATCCATGCCTGGACAAGCACGGCATGGTGGGGTTTTGGCGCGGGCCCGGGGGGTGGGGTGTGGGCGTGCGAGGCTGGGGTTGAGGGGCAGGGGGACGAGGGCAACTGACACCGTCGACAGCGGGGACGGGCTGCCGGCTGCACGGTCAACCGTTGCTTCCTGTCCTTGCTTGCTGCGGCGTGCCACTGTCTTGGAGCTGCCGTACTGCGATGATCAAACCGGCGGGTGACCAACAAATGCGGCGGCACGCGACGTGCGCCTTCGCGCAATCACGCTGACCCCTGCCCCAAGCCTCGCTGCTGATACGTCAAACAGTGGGTTCATCCTGCTGCTAGCTGCGACATGGTTACCCTTGCTCGCCTGATTTGCCTGCCAGACCTTTTACATGCGATCCGCCCACGGCCTCAAGCAGGCGACTGGGTCTGAGCGATCATACCAGATGCGGCATGTCATCAACGTGTGCAAAGGGTATGGCGGCGCAGATGTCTCCTGGGGCGACGGGCCAGTGACTCGGCAATAAACGATCTCGCAGCGAAGCTTCAGGCTGTTGTTCCTGTCACCGCGCCCTGTTTCCTTGATAACTGTCAGCCGGTATGTTGCGCACACTAGCCCAGGGGCAGCAAGCGACCCCCACATGACACATGGGCAACCTCGCTGTGCCACTGGTGTCCTGATGGTGATGGTGCCAGTGCCGACCAGCGATGCAGGCGGCAACCGCAGGTGCTGCGAGTGCTGGTCCCGCCCCACTGTTGACATGCATGGCAGGCAGAAATGAATGGTTCCACAGCCCTGTAAAGATCACCAGATGATACATGAATCACGGAAAACACAGGACCAGCTGGAATATCCCGACACATAATCGATGATGGGCTGCATTTTTCAAAAGGCCTGGCTGTGCAGCCACCAACAACAATGTAGAAGCGAGCCATGTTTGCAACCTATCACCTGTAACGAGCAGCTTCTAGGGGACCACAAGTTTAAATCACTACACAGCGCCTCATCAGGCCATGTGAGATCAGTGTGTAGCGTGCGTTGTGTGCACGCAGTGCCAACAGGAGCGTGCAAACGAGCCTCATGTTAACATGAATGAAGCCGGCTTGCCGTCAGTTTGCAAGCAGGCAACTATATGTCAACACGATAGTCAGCTGGACCTTGCGTCAGTGCGTACCAGCCTTGCCGCATGAGCGCCAGGTTGGCAAGCAGCCCCTGCGTGACAGGCCGGTCACGCTGGCACCAGCTGTGACCAGATGACCACTCACCTGCATCTATGCTGCGACTGGAATCATGATGAACATTCCAAGCAGGAGCAGCAGTTTGGGGTCCCTGATCTGTACGCACGGGTGCCACCCAAACACCACACTAGTGCACGTTGACCATTGTTTTAGGATCGGCTAGCTAGTACAGTAGTGACCAAGCTCTACATTTATTTGGCAGTACATCACGCACTTTGATGACTCTTGCACACGCACGCATAACTGAGAGGCCCTTGCACTGGCGAGCCGCACCACATGTGGCAGGATCCTTGCATGCATGCATGCATAACAAAACAATTGTGTACAGTTCAAAGCTATGCAAAAGGGGCCAGGATATCGCGTGCACTTGTCATGCGGTAACACATTGAAACTGCTGTTACCTAGGTTACTTGTGTTACGGTGCGCGGGTAACAACACGTTACCACAGGCGGTGTCTACTAAAGTTACCCTGTTACCGCGCGTTACCGCGTTACCACGGCGGCGGTAACACCACCTTTTGTACTGCGGTAACACGCACCCTGCGCTACTAGTGATGGGTGGTGCGAGGCTTAAGCAAGACTGGCTTTTTCAAGATGCACAAGTCGTACGCCCACAGCACAGTCGGTATGGTGGGCCTATCCCGAGACAGCTGCGCCGAATGTGTTTGCCAGCATTGTTCCACACAAGGTATGTGAACGGAGGGGCAATTCGAGGGGATTCTTTCCGTTTCCAACAGCATTCTCCAGTACGCATGTAGCTGAGACTTGTAGACTGGCACCCTTGGCTAGGCTTGCTTGCCTCGTTTGTTACAAAGACGACTCGTGCGTTTGATCGGTAACCCCAACTGTGCCTGAGGCGATATTATGATACATTTAAACGTTTTATACTGTATGACGTTGTGGCCGCCCCGGTAGATCGGTGAGAAAGCTGCCTCGAAAGCCCGCACTTGTCAGACTGGACCCGGGCTTCGAGGTCGTCCGTATCAGCCATGCGACGAGAAAAGGATCAGAACTACTCCTCTGGGCATCCAAGCGCATGCTGCACGCAGGCAGCCCTGCGCTGGCACCGTGCGGCGTCGCCCTGTTGGCGAGTCGCGCTGGTCCGTGAGCATCCATCCTCCAGCACGCACTCACATGAACCTTGCGCAGGTCACAGCCTCAAGGCCCAGAATCCCGTCGAGAGAGCGGGTGGTTTGAAGCTCAGACTACCGCTGGTCCTGCCGTGGCTACTCTGTCCTGAGCTTGCCGCAGCAAGCCTGAGGTCTACCGGGTTCGCACCCAGCAGCAGGATGCAGCCGGGTTTGGACTTCACCAAAACGCCAGGTTCGCCATACACAGCAAGCAACATACAGGGATAGAGCAAGGAACTTACAAGCAATTATGGGGGAGTAAAATGCTGTGAGAAATCTGCGCCACCCTTCAAGCCTCCTCACTGGCTGCAGTCGCAGCATCATTTTGTTGGGAGCACCGTATGGCAACGTAGAGTTAACTCTACCTTTACTTCCAACCCAACTTTTGCTCTTCGTGCCCAAAACCCCTCGCCCCTGCACTTGCTGCCCAGAGTACCATTTGTACGCTTTCAAGATCCTATCCTGCCCCCTCAAGACGTCACATGACTGGAGTAGCTGCCCCTGGGCCCACCCTAAAGAGCAGGCACGGCGCAGGGACCCTCGGCGATACTACTACACACCTGTGATGTGCCCTTATGCCAAGATGGTGTACGGCTGGTCGTGCACCCAGTACACGCATGCAAACAATCATTGCATGACTTGCACGGGGAGGGTCGGTGGCAGTTGCTTGCACGCGTGAGAAACGGAAAGGCGCTGCATGGACACTTCACCGCTTCGTTGCAGCACAAGATCTTGTGATAATCAGTGTGACGAGGCGTCGCACACCGATTTGCAGTTCGGGGCTTGTGATGTCCGCATGTGACTCCTGCTTATACTACCTGACACCTACACACGTGCCTCGCGACTCAACCATCCAGGGAGCATTTGCCTGCCCCAGGGGGGATGCGTGTGACCAGGCTCACCAGGTAGGTGAGGGCGCAAGGCAGCGATGACCTCCAAGCTGGTGTTTTGCTGCCCGGTCATGCGACTCCGTAACGGTAGTGTTGTACAACATGTCTGTTGGCATAATGCTGACCTCGTGACTGCGTGAAGTGATCAGCAGCCCTGAAGAAGCAAAGTTCGAGCGGTTCAGCCGATGTCAGCCGCTAATCCTTCCCCTGTGTCGCACCACCTCGGCACAAAGGTGTACGAATTCTGGCTGCATCCCCTCAAGGTACGTAGGCGGGGATACTTGCAATCAGGCAGCTGCAGTTGATCTCAAGCAACCAGACCGTGCTTGTGTGCACATGCACTGCAGATGTGCGTGTCTTGCTTGACCTCCTCGTTACAGATCCTGCCTGCTTCAGAGCGGTGTCGGGCGTAATTGTTTTGTTTTACCAGTATTGATAATGCCTGTCACCACCCTGTGCTGCTGACTGTGCGTCTCCAGTTCCGCAGCGAGTTGTGCCGGAAGGGGCCCCTCTGCGACAGGCGACTCTGCTTCTTCGCCCACAGGCAGGACGCTTGAACAAAGCCCCGCCCCGACCCATGCTTGGCTTGTTTGAAATCGAATGCAGCAAGGCAAAGGGTCACCCATACAAGGCAACAATTCCACCACCCATCAATGGCTGGCCCACCCCCTTTTGCGCTGCCAATTCTGTTGCTCACTGTTGCTCGTGCTGGGATTCCTGGTGCACCCCCCCCTCCTGCGCTTGAAATACAACGAGCCCTCCTGATCCCCCTGCTGCCCCCGTTAACAACTGCTCCAGGCCCGAGGAGCTCAGGTATTTCACACAGGAGGAGCTCATTGCTACCGGCATGATGGCGGCGCCGCCCGCCACAACCAACCACAATGCCACGGCGAGCGCCACGGCATCCATGGCAACGGCCTTGGCACTGGGCCCTGATGTCGGGATGCTGGGCCCCTCAGCAGCACTACACTCCTACCCTCCAGGAGTTGACGCAATGCAGCAGCACCAGGCCGTTCACCACGCGTTTGCAGCCGCGGCGCGCGCAGCCAATGGCGACATTGTGGCAGCGCCAATGCTCAGCCAGGTGCAGACCTGGGTGGCCAGTGCACAGCAGCACAGCCTCATGCTGGCAGAGGCTGATAGCGGTGGCACCTGCGGCTCGCAGCAGATCGGTGGTCGTGGCTGCGACCGCGACAGCGTCATGGCCGGCGTGATGATGCCCATCGTGGCACCGTTCAACCCCTTCTCAATGGGTGCTGCAAGGCCGGGAAGTACTGCCGCGGCGATACCGCTGCCACACAAGGGCGTCGCCGCCAACCTGTACAGCGAGGGAGGCGAAGCGGCAGTGGCGCACGGTGACGTCTATGGCGTGGGCATGCACCATCAGGGCAGCCAGTACCAAGACCCCAGCAGCCATTTGGAGGCGTCGCATAGGGCGAGCTTTGAGGCAGCACTCAACCATCAGCACCGCCACCAGGTGCAGCGGGTGGTTGCCAGCCTCCAAGCTGCTGCCAGCGGCGTCGATCAGCAGGCCGGCAGCGTCGACATCTCTCAGAGCAGGGGGGCTGCGCTGCAAATGTCAGCGGCTGGCGGCATGCTGAACGGCGCGGTGGCGGTAGAAGTACTGCCTCCACCGGGTGGCGAGGAGGCAGCCTCATCGTCACTCCAGCGGGGCCTGCTGCCTGGTGGGAACGCCAGCACGTTTGCCCAGATGTCGAGCGTGCCCCAGCAGCACGAGGTGGCCGTGATTGAGGA